TTGGGAATGTGCTCGCGGGGGAGGAGGTAGATGAAATTGGAGAGGGTGAGATGCCTCTTGTACCTCACGGACCACGACGAGGCCGCCAGGCTAATGCTAATGATAATATTCCAGACCCTCCTCCGCAACCTCCAAGAGTGGCTCCCAGAGTATTACCAAACCAAGGATATGCAAGTGCTATTGTCCCACCCAGAATCCGAGCGGGCAATTTTCAGATAACTAATGTGATGTTGACCTTACTTGAGCAGCGTGGGTATTTTACGGGCGCTGCGGATCAAAATGCCTACAAACATCTAATAGGGTTCGTGGATACATGTTGGGGTAGCAAGCAGACGAATTTGTCCGAAGATGCTCTTAGGTTGAGAATTTTCCCGTTCTCACTTCGGGGAAAGGCATTAGATTGGCTAGAGAGACTCCCCAACCATTCCATCACAATTTGGGATGAGTTGGCGGATAAGTTTATTGCTAAATTTTTCTCACCCGGGCACATGGCGGCACTTCGAGATGAGATATTGGCTTTCAAACAAGAACCCACGGAACCCTTACATGAGATTTGGGAGCGATTTAGAACAATAGTGAAAGAATGCCCAAACAACGATATGACCGAGGCGATGATTCAACAAACCTTCTATCGGGGCATCAATACTACAAACCAATGCATAGTCAATCAATTGGCCGGGGGTAATTTTATGAAGTTGTCTTATGACGAAGCTTGCGAGATTCTTGATGAGATGGAGGATACATCTTCCGCATGGCAAAGTAGAGCCAATGTTCCCCAAGGTGACCCTACAGTTATTTATTTGCATAAGGAGTTACACGACCATGGGCAGGCTATATCGGAGTTGACAACTACTATGAATCAATTGGCTAAGGCACAGTTGCAACAAGTCCAAAACCCTCGCCAAGTGAATGCTATGGAAAGTGTTAATTTGCTTACTAACAAGAGAAGGCAAAGGAGGCAACAAAACCAAGGGAATTCTGAGCAATTGATGATGAGTGTGATGGGTTTCAAAATGAGGGCTATGATGAGCAAAATGAAGAGGTACAATATGTTAACAACTATCAAGGCAATAGAGGCAACTCTTCAAACCAACAATGGCGACCCCAAGGTAATTGGGCAATCAACAACAAGGTGGTGGTAATTGGAACAACAACAACCAAGGCGGTAATTGGGGGAACAATAATCAAGGCAACCAAGGGAATTGGAATGGTAATAACAACAATTGGAACAATAATGGTCAAGGTGGGTGGAACAACAATGGAAACCAAGGCAACCGGGGGCAAGGCTTTCAAAGGCCCCCGATGTACCAACAACCGAACAATCTGCCTCCATTTCAATCTCAAGGATCTAGTTCTTCGGGTAATGATATGGGAAGAATAGAAATGATGTTCGAACAAATGATGAAGAAGAACCAAGATTCCGATGCTCAATTGGCTTCCCACAATACCTCTATCCGGAATTCAGAGGTGCAATTAGGCCAAATCTCTCAATCGTTGAATACTCTCCCTAAGGGTGCTCTACCAAGTAATACGGTAGTGAACCCGAAGGGTGGGAACAATCATGTGATGGCAGTTACAACAAGAAGTGGGAGAGGCAGTGATGTGCATGCCTCGAAAGATAAGCAAGTTGTGGATGATGATGTTGAGTTGCGAGAAGATGATGTACCTATGATAGTTCAAGATGTAGTTGAGAATGAGGTGACCAATGATGTGGGGATTGACATTGATGAGGCCAAGGTGGAAACTCAAGACGCCGTGAACCCGTCTAGGGAACACGTGATTGATATGCCCGAGCCGGGGGTGCCCAAAGCCAAGGCACCTTTGCCTAAACCACCTCCGCTTTATCCTCAACGGTTAGCCAAGCAAAAAAGTGAGAATCAATTTAAAAAGTTCATTGACATGCTGAAGAGCTTATCCATCAACGTACCTTTGGTGGAGGCTTAGGAGCAAATTCCTGGGAATGCGAAATTCATGAAAGATTTGGTTACAAAGAAAAGATCAATGGACTGCAAAACTATCAAGATGACCCACCAAGTTAGTGCCATAGTACATTCAATGGCCCCGAAATTAGAGGATCCCGGTGCTTTCACTATCCCCTGCACTATTGGTAGTGCAGACTTTGCCAAAGCTTTATGTGATCTTGGGGCAAGCATCAATTTAATGCTCTTCTCAGTTTTCAAGACTCTAGGTATTGTGCCACCAAGGCCAACTTCCATGAGATTACAGATGACAGATAGATCAATGAAGCGTCCTTTGGGTATAGTTGATGATGTGCTTGTCCGGGTGGACAAATTTGTCCTGCCGGCGGACTTTGTGATTTTGGATTGTGAGGTGGACTATGAGGTCCCAATTATTCTAGGGAGACCTTTCCTTTCAATGGGGAAGACATTGGTTGATGTTGAAGCGGGTGAACTAACTTTCCGAGTGGGGGATGAGAAGGTCGTTTTCCATGTTTGCAAATCCATGAAGCAACCCAATAGCACCGAGGTGTGCTCATTTGTGGACATCATCACAGCTGTGATTGTGGATGACACAAGTGCCATGATTAACGTGGAGGATCCCCTTGAGGCCGTGCTATTAAATCTTGACGTCAATGATGATGCAAGCAGAGTGAAGTGTGTCGGTGCATTACATGGGATGGGCTCTTACTCCTATGAGCCGAGAAAATTGTCTTTGGATCTTGAAAATTGGAAAACTCCACCAACCAAACCATCAATTGAGGAGCCACCGGTGTTGGAGTTGAAGCCACTTCCTTCACACCTCAGGTATGAGTTCTTGGGCTCTAATTCAACTTTACCAGCTATTCTTTCTTCTTGCCTTACTAACATGCAGGTTGAGGCCACTTTGGCGCTGCTTCAAAGGCGAAAAAGGGCAATTGGATGGACTCTGGCGGACATTCGGGGAATAAGCCCCGCATTTTGCATGCACAAAATTATCTTGGAGGATGATGCAAGGCCGTCCTTAGAACATCAAAGGAGGCTCAATGAGGCAATGCAATAGGTGGTGAAGAAAGAAGTGATCAAGTGGCTTGATGCGGGCATGGTATATCCAATCTCTGATAGCTCATTGACTTCTCCGGTGCGATGTGTGCCGAAGAAAGGTGGGATGACTGTGGTGACAAATGACAACAATGAACTTATTCCCACTCGGACCATTACTGGGTGGAGAGTTTGCATGGACTACCGGAAGCTAAATAAAGTGACCCGCAAGGATCATTTCCCGTTGTCGTTCCTCGACCAAATGCTTGATCGCCTTGCTGGGCGTGTTTTTTATTGCTTTTTGGCTGGCTACTCGGGGTATAATCAAATTTTAATTGCCCCGGAGGACCAAGAGAAGACCACATTCACATGCCTATATGGTACATTTGCTTTCTCCCGGATGCCGTTCGGGTTGTGCAATGCTCCAGCGACCTTCCAACAATGCATGATGGCTATTTTCACCGACATGGTGGAAGATATTTTGTTGGTCTTTATGGATGATTTTAGCGTGGTTGGTGATTCATTTGAAGAGTGTTTGGGAAATTTGGATAGAGTCTTGGCCCGATGTGAAGAAACGAATCTCGTTCTTAATTGGAAAAAATGCCATTTCATGGTTGAAGAAGGTATAGTGTTGGGTCACAAGATTTCTAAGCATGGGATTGAAGTAGACAAAGCTAAGATCGAGGTGATTTCGAGGTTTCCTCCCCCCACTTTTGTCAAAGGGGTGAGGAGTTTCCTTGGGCATGCGGGGTTTTACCGGCGTTTTATCAAGGATTTTTCGAAGGTTGTGAATCCCCTTTGCAAGTTGCTAGAGAAAGAGGCTAGGTTTGTGTTTGATGAGAAATGCATGGAAGCTTTTGAACTTCTTAAGCACAAGTTGACCACCACCCCGATCATTACCGCACCCAATTGGAGTTTACCTTTCGAGCTCATGTGCGATGCAAGTGACGTTGCGGTTGGGGCAGTGTTAGGTCAAAGAGTGAACAAAATATTTCATCCCGTGTACTATGCAAGCAAGACAATGAATGAAGCTCAAAGGAACTACACGGTGACGGAGAAGGAACTTTTGGCTATTGTGTTCGCCATGGAAAAATTTCGGCCATATCTTATGGGGGCCAAAGTCATAGTGCATACCGACCATGCCGCCTTTAGGTATTTGATGACCAAGAAAGACTCCAAGGCAAGGTTGTTGAGATGGGTATTACTTCTTCAAGAGTTTGATTTGGAAATAGTGGACCGGAAAGGTAGTGAGAACCAAGTTGCGGATCATTTGTCCCGCTTGGAGGAGGAAGGAAGTCCATGTGATGGCTTGGAGATCAATGATACATTCCCCGATGAGCAACTACTTTCTGTGTCAATGTGTGATATGCCATGGTTTGCGGATATTGCTAATTTCATTGTGACTGGCATCATCCCGTGTGAGCTCTCTTCTAACCAAAGGAAGAAGCTCAAACGGGATAGTCTGGACTTCTATTGGGATGAGCCATACTTGTTTAAGATTTGCACGGATGGTATGATTCGAAGGTGTGTCCCGGAGGGAGAGCAATTGAGTATTTTGGAGGCTTGTCATTCATCCCCCTATGGCGTCCATCATGGAGGGGTGAGGACGGTTTCGAAAGTTTTGAGTTATGATTTTTATTGGCCAACCTTGTCACTACAAGAAGTAAGGGCTACGACGATATTTTATAAATGTCATTTTAAGTCACATAAATGTCACATATTCCGTTGCCGACATTTTTTTGACACTTAGTTTAAATGTCGGAAATTTCGATGTCGGGAATTTTCCGACATTTATATTAATGTCGGTAAAGAATTTATGACATTTATTTACTGACTTTTTGTGAAACGTCGGATTGAAATTTCTGACATTTATGATATTGTCAGCAATAAAAAGTGACATTTATTTACAACATTAACAAATGTCAATAGTATCAGTTTCTATTGACACTTGGCAAAACATCGTGTTGATGTCGAAAATACATAATGATCTTTGTACTTAATATTGAAAGCACATTTGCTATAAGTGCAAAAGCTAATATTCATTTCATTATACCTGAAGCCATAACCATCCAATTCTAAAATATATACACCCAAATGTCATTCACCATAGACAATTTGAACTAAAGTAAAATACTATGAAAAGAAGATCCCTATAACTAATTCCAAGTGTATGCCTAAGTAAAATCTAGCTAAGTTTGGAACAACAAGAGATTTCTTCACTTCTTCAACTGTCTTTCACTCTTTCTGCTACTTTTTTCAAGGAGCTTCTTCTCCAATTCATTTGTGTGTCTGCCCATTTGATACTCTCTTGAATTGGGACAAGAAGATTGTCTGATGTAGTCACCTATGCATTTATAAAATGAGAAATATGTTAGCAAATCGTTGAAGTTAAAATTACATCACATGCTCAACAGATTAGCAAGTAGAGAATATATGTAATGCAGCATTTTTACAAGTATCCTCTATGCAGTAGGGAAGACCTCTTGTTATGTTCCAAAGTTTGTCTTCAATCAACAACAACTACGTCTCATTCTAAAACAAGTTGAGAAGTTATCTTTGAATCAATGAACAAAAATAATTCGGTAAGAGTAGAAATACATAACTATAAGAAGGAATAATGTTGTTTGGCCATCAAATCCATAAGAACCTTTTACCACAAGATGCCACAAACTTGCACGCTCCAACTCAATATGAAGACCAACACGTGTTCAATTAACTATTGTCGAATGCCAACTTTAGGTAACAAAGCCCCTAGAAGAGAATAGAAAGGAAAGAGGGAAATTCAATAAAAGTAGAATTTAGTCAAAGATAACATCTAAAAAAACTGTACAGCATTATTGTACTCACAAATATTACCTTTTCAAATGAAGCCTCTCCCTGTGCCGAGATAACAGAATGAATGAAGCTAACTCCAACATCCACATAAAGTCTCAAAAGTACTATTTTGATTAAAAGAAGTTAAGGAGAGCAGCAATACTATCATTGAGTTGAATAGATACCTCTGGGATAATGTTTTGCCGCGCCACTCTCCTGTTCGTAGTTGTCTCAATCGCTCATTGGTCTTCACCTGACAAATTTTGAACAAACAGGTAATATATTGACAGGGTATAAAAATGTGCTCTACTATTAGCAACTGCCTGTAAAGAGCACATTATAATCACTTAGCAGAAGTTAAGAGTATAAAAACAAATACCTATAACGTGAAGCCCCAACGCGAACATACATCTTAACATATTTGAACAAGGCCAAATAGAGGCAGAACAAAATTTACATGTAAAGCAAGTCTCATACTAACTCACACAAATGATTATTTTTTACATTGGAATCAACCTAGGACGTACAATCAATCATCTGAATTTGGAGGAAAAACATAATAACATTCATCAATCTATATTAGATTAGAAAATGACTTTCTTATTCTGACAAAAAATTAACTTGAACGATTTATCAAAGCAAAAACTAACATTAATTACAGAAACCAAAAATTAATTAAAAAACAAACTTTACTCTCCATCACCACCCGAACTAGTATCATATGAATATATGAAAGCATTGAATAGAAGTATCTAGAATATTTCTAGAGAGTACCAATTTGCAGGAAAAGAACAGAGATCGAAAGACTCCGTTCTCGATTGGTTAACATCAGGCATCATCCATCGAATTCCCCATACTCGTCCCAATTGCTTTGTCGGTCCTTCTCATCTATGAGGACATCAATTGAAGATAAGAAACTAACGGCAGAAGAGGCCAACACTAGGAATATCACTAGTGGAGACGAACTCAGAGGACGGCAAAGACCGGTGGAACCACTACGGTAGACGGAAAGAAAAGTGCGCTGCGCTTAAGGCGAAGGAGACTTAAAAAAATTATGAGTCTAATTTATATTACTTTTTAAACAGAAGTCCCAAATGTGGCAAAATTTCCTACTAATTATTGTAAAAAGTCGGTAAAACATTATTAATATGGTGTTAATTAAAGCAAATTTTATAATATTCGGTCATTTTTTTTATCAAATGTCACTATTTTTATGACAATTTCAAGTAAATGTCTCTAAACTAATTAATTCCTGTCTTTTTTCATAAATGTCACTAATTAAACGTCGTTGTAGCTCATATTTGTTGTAGTGTGTTCAAAGATGCAAGTGATTTAGTGAAAAGATGTGATCAATGTCAACGAGCAGGCGGGATTTCCAAGAAAGATGAGATGCCTCTAAACACAATTCTTGAAGTTGATATCTTTGATGTTACGGGTATCGATTTTATGGGCCCTTTTGTTAGCTCGTGTGGTAACACTTACATTCTTGTAGCGGTTCATTATGTGTCAAAATGGGTTGAGGCCGTAGCCTTGCCCAACAATGAAGCTAGGAGTATGGTGGCATTTCTAAAGAAAAGCATTTTCACAAGGTTTGGTACACCTTGGGCAATCATTAGTGATGGAGGATCGCATTTTTGTAATAAAGCTTTTGATGCTTTGCTTCCAAGTATGGTGTCAACCACAAAGTCTCTACACCTTATCATCCTCAAGCAAGTGGCCGGGTTGAAGTGTCTAATAGTGAGATCAAGAGCATTTTATCCAAAACTGTCAATGTCAATAGGACCGATTGGTCTAAAAAGTTAGATGATGCTCTATGGGCTTACCGGACCGCTTACAAGACCCCAATTGGTATGTCACGTATCGGTTGGTGTTTGGGAAAGCATGTCATCTACCAGTGGAGTTGGAGTATAAGGCCATGTGGGCCTTGGGGAAGCTTAATCTTGAGTGGGATGTTGCAGCCAATCTTCGTGTTGAATAACTCAATGAACTTGATGAATTCCGGTTCCATGCATACTCTAGTTCGTCCTTGTATAAGGACAAGATGAAGTACCTTCATGACAAATATGCTCGTGGAAAGGAGTTTAAAGTTTGTGATTTGGTGCTCTTATTTAACTCTCGTCTAAGGTTGTTTCCGGGAAAGCTGAAATCAAAGTGGAGTGGACCATTTGAAGTTGTATGTGTGACCCCGTTTGGTGTTCTAGATTTAAAGAACAAAAGTGGTGAATTCTTTAGAGTGAATGGGCACCGTGTCAAGCATTATCTTGGGAAGTTTGATGATAGCCATGTGGTGGCTGTTGTTCATTTCAAATGATGTGATGGTAATCCGCGTCGTGCCGCGACGTTAAATCAGGCGCTTCTTGGGAGGCAACCCATGTGTTTTTCATTTTGTTTTCTTTGATTTTTCTTGGTAGTATAGGATTGATTTTTGGGCTAACTAATTATGAGATGTTAAGGGATTGAGTTGATGCAGTGCATGGCATAATGGCAAAATTGTTCAGTCTCTGAAGTTTCTAGTGCGGCCGCACTACACTTTGTGTGGTCCGCACTGGTGTGAGCCGATGTGAGGACTCTCTGAAGTTTTCCACCGCGGCCGCATTATATTTTGTGCGGACCGCGGTGGACCTCTGCTGCCGCAGTCTGTTTTGTGCGGACCGTAGAGGTTGCCTTCTCAAACTTCTTCTAAACAAACCCAGTGCGGACCGCGATCCGTTTTGTGCGGCCGCGCTGGTAGGTAAGAATGGGTCCCACGGTTGTTCTATAAATAGACCTCAAGGACCCCTGTTTACATTTTTCGCGAATTTGAAACTCAGAGAGACTAAAATACTGTTCATCCCTCTTCCTTGCTCATAAATTCTCGTTTGCTTTATGTGATTCTTTCCTGCTCAATATCTGGTAACATTTCACCCGTTTCTTTTAGTTTAATTGTTTAATTTCATTTCATTTTCAATTTATTATCCTGTAGCTTCTTTTTTCTTCCCGTATTTCTTCAATTTTTTTAGGGTAATTAGTTTTAAATGTTAATTTCTGTAGACTTAGTGAGCATAATTGAACTGGGTAATTGAGTAGGGACCATATTAGGTGAAAATTTGAACTAAAATGCAAAATCCCAAAACCCTAACTCAGTGCCAAGTTTGGGCACTTTCCGCGGACCGCGGTCAATCTTGTGCGGTCCGCGGTGGACTCAACGCGGCCGCATGACCACTTTTCGCGGACCGCGGTGATGAGAGCTGAAAGGTGTCCTTGACCAGTGTGGCCGCACTACATTCTGTGCGGTCCGCACTGGCCCACAGCGGCCGCGGTACTATTTTGTGGGGGCCGCGGTGGTGAGATTCAGAGAGTTGTTTTAGGGGGACCTTAGACCTATGCGGACCACGGTCATTTCTGTGCGGTCCGCGGTGGCCTCAGTGCGGCCGCACTGCCGTTTTGTGCGATCCGCGCTGGCCTGTTTCTGCAACTGTCTGCTTATGTTCTGCAATTCATTATGCACATATATCCCACTGCTTCAATTGATACTAACAAAGTTAGATGCTGTGTTTGCAGATAATGGTTAAACAACGAGGGGGAAGAGGATGAAAACAACCCGGGAGAGGTGAATCCTCCTGGGGAGGAAAGCAGAAGATGATAAAACTCACTCCCCAAGTTCGGGAGAGTACAAAAGGTTGAGAAAAGCAATAAAAGCAGCTGACAGAGCTGCTGATAAATCGGGGAGTGAGTACGAGCCTTCACAGGATGTTTCCTCAGATTCCATTCCCACTCATATCCCTGACTGGCCCGGGAGATTTAGACTGACTGATGACATTCCTCCACCATCACCCACTATCCGCAGGCCAGTCAATGTCGTTTCTGAGTCGTCTGAGGACTCAGCAGCTGGTAGTGGGGACGACTCCACCTCCCCCACAGCTTCATTATCTGGGGAGAGTGCAGACAGAGATGAGGAGGAGGTGCAGAGAGCTGGGGGTGGTGAGCCTCAGTTGGGAGGCATTGCCCGAACTAGGAAGCTCGATGAATGGGAGGACAGATTTGTGAGCCAAGTGGCATATCATAAGTTTAGGGAGTGGTGGCCGATGAGGCTTTCTATACCGGAGAGGAGTTTTATTGACAAAGACTTACTACCCCACAACCCTGACGTGCAAAGGCAATTTAGAACTAGACCGGGCTGGGAAATATTTATGGAGAAATGTATAGATGCAAATGAACATATGGTCAAGGAATTTTATTGTAATGTGGCCCACATCGTCAAGGGTTCCAAAGTGACCAAGGTTCGAGACAAAAAGGTGTTGTTCGACGGGCAATCTCTGAATGATTATTTGGGGTTCAATGAAGAGGACGAGACTCTATATCTGGCAAAGTTGGAGATGGGCGAGGGGGTCCGTCCATGGTTAGCTCAGTACCTGGCAATCCCAGGTACCGTTCCTGAGTGGTTGACTGCGGGGGTAAAAATACTGAGGACCCTAAACTTTGAGGCTAGGGGTTGGTTGACTTTTGTGTGTAGTCGGTTGGACCCTACTACCCATGAGCAGACCATTTCTCTCCACCGGGCTATATTGGTTGCTTCCATCATGGCGGGATACCCCATCAATGTGGGGAATGTGATGACTCGCATTATCTCCTTAGTGGGTGCAGATCACGGCCGGAACTACCCTTACCCCAACACCCTCTCTATGTATTTCCGGGACTTGGAGGTGGAAAAGAAGTCCTATGATGTCAAGGCCAAACTAGTAGTTCCACTTTCATGGTATAGTTTGAAGGGGCCAGACAACCCCAAGGACAAGAACTACAAGGCCCCTGCTTTCGCCCCAACTGGTCAGTCTGAAGAGCCAGTTGTGGTAGAGGCCTCCACTGAGCATGCCTCCACGGTTGCTGATATGCCTCCCAGACCTTCCACTACTACTGACTTGCCTCCAGGTCCTTCTACCTCAACTGGCCCGGAGATTCCATCTTTCCGGGCCCATCCTATCACTGCCCACCGGTTGAGCCAGACACTTCAGAGCATGAACAACTGGATGTATACTTCTTCATCCAAGTTATCTACCTTGACCTCTACCATTGAGGCTCAGTCGGCACCACAGCCAGCACAGGTCCCACAGTCCATTGAGGATGCATTGAAGAAGATTCTAGAAAACCTGGAGAAGATCCTTAGTACCCAGGCTGCCTTGGCTATGGCAGTGGATTCACATGGCAAGGCTCTAAAGGAGCTTGCCAAGGAGCACAAGAAGCTGCGCAAGACACGGGCCTCCAGGGAGTCCGTGAAGGAGTTGAGGGCGGATGTGGATAGACTGAAGGCAGACCAGCTGCCTTTAGACTTATTATTTGAGGACCCAGCTCCAGCAGCAGTTCCAGTAGCAGCCACAAACCTAGAGCAGATACAGAGGCCTCCAAAGAAGAGGAGGAAGATCCCTAGTGCAGATGATGCCATCATCCAGTTGGCGGACCCACCGATGGCTTCCTCCAGTCAGCCACAGGATGTATCAGTACCAGAGCCAGTACAGGTCCAGGCCCAGGTCCCAGAAGCTGAGCAGCAAAATACTGGGAACCAGTCTGAGGTTCCCGAGCATACCGAGGACCCAGGGACCACTCATGATCCTATGCAGACGGACGAGGCTTAGGGAGTCTTCATATCCTTTACTTATATGTGTTGGTGCTTATTTTGTTAGTTGGCATTAGGGACAATGCCAGCTTTTATTTGAGGGGGTGCGCCCTGTATATTTTGTTTGGATGACTGGATATATGGATCACTTTTATGATTTCTTGATTTTTCATTTGGTCTGTATATAATCTTACATTTAGTTACTTTTATCGTACTTTTTATCTTTCCTTTGGTTTGTATATAAAGTTACATCATTGTATATTTTCATTCGCCGTTGTATATTTACTCCCCTATTGTACATATTCATTCTATTTTCTATTTTTGCAAAAATATTTCATTTTTAGCTTCTTATATAGGCTCGTAGCCTTTGTTTTGTTTTGGATGTTTTAATAAGGCTTTGGTTTTCTTAATGCCACGGTTCTTTCCAAAGGTGGAGTATTGTGTAAACTGGGTGGCTCTTCCCAATGATA